ACAAAACATTGTTGAAGGAAATTTAGGAAGACTCAAATAAATGGAAAGAGATCCCGGGTTCATGGAATGGAAAACTTAATATTGTTAAGATGGAATATTCCCCAAATTAATCTACAGAGTCAATGCAATCTCTACCAAAATTCCAAGTATCTTTCTTGCAGAAATGGAAAAGCTGAACTTAAAAGTCATAAATGTTCCTTGGATTGTTAGGAGTTCTGGAAAAAAAAGATTTTGACATTTTTGCCAGTGTCCGTGTTGCTTTTATGGAGGCATTGAGTTTCAGAAGTCCTTACTGCACCATTCCATAAGTGCTTCTAGAGGGACATTTATAGCTACAAGCATCTACATCTGAAAAGAAGAAAGATCTCAAATAAATAACCTTAGCTTTTACCTTAAGAGACTAGAAAATGAAGAGTAAACTAAACTCGAAACAAGCAGAGGGAAGGAAATAATAAAGATTAGAGTGGAAATGAATAAAATAGAAAACAGAAAAACGATAGAGAAATTTAATGAAACAAAAAGTTGGTTCTTTGAAAGGTCAATAACATTGACAAACCTGTAGCTAATGACCAAGGAATTAAGGGACAGAAGACACAAATTACCAAAATTTATAATGACCCTACAGAAAGTAAAAGGATTAAGGAGGATACTATGAACAATGTTATACCAATAAATTAGACAACTACAATGAAATGGGTAAATTCTTAGAAAGAAACAATACCAAAACCAACTCAAGAAGAAGTAGAAAATCTGAATAGATCTGTAACAGGCAAATAAATTAAAGTGATAACTAAAAATCTTTCCATAAAGATATATACTATGGGAAATGCCTCTGAAAGTATTGGCATTGAGTTGGCCCCAAATAAATGGAAGTCCATTTGCTCTGGTCCTTCCTGACAAAGTATCAAAACCCTAGCAAAATTCTCTCCTCCATCAAATCCTATGGAAACATACTGTATCCACTGACATGATTTGAAGAAGTAAAAGTCACTTATCAGTGAGAAACTCACCTTTGGACTCGTTTTGGGTGATAAATACTGAGATCATAGATCAGGCAAACCAAGACATCTTGACTCAATCAGACTCCATCATGACCAAGGACAGTCTTTAATGATGATCCCCAAGAATACTACACACACATACACACACAACGTAAATATGGGCAGCTCTTTTCTTCCAAAGATTGGGATCTGGGATGGTCAAAAGAAGGATCATATTTCCAGTTGATACTTGAAGAAACTAGAGAACCAAAGATACTATAATACTATGGAGGCAGAGTTAATGCTTAAACATTTGCCACTTGCTTTTCTAATTAAGACAGCATGGAAAAGAGAGACAGGACCTAGGGTCTAGGTTGCGCTCTGCCACGAATTTGCTGTTGATCTTTATCAAACTCTCTTTTCTCTCTGGCCTCAATGCTGTCATTTAAAAAATGAGAGACCAGCCCTTGGATTACCATGAGGACCCCTCAGAAGAGACAGGTCTATGCCTGGCCTTCTTGTATGTGAAGCTGGTCCGAGGGAGGCCGGCTGTGGCCATGCACTCATCCGGGTGACAGTCAGCACGACAACTAGACAAGAAAAGAATCTTTACATCAATGAGCTAAGCGTCTAACTTAGGAATTTAGGAGAAGTCCAAGAGTAAAGGTAAAGAAAGTGGAAGGAAGGGAAAATAATAGTATGAGCAGGGATTAAAGAAATAGAAACAACGATTCAAGAGCGGATGGACAAGGTTAAAGCTGGTCCTTTGGAAGGACAAATCTGTGGCAAAATTAAGCAAGAAAGAATAGAAGGCATGAACAAACCATGAAAACAAGAACACGACTATAAATATAGGACTATCTTGAATGATTTTATGCCATAAATTAAAAAATTTAAATGGACAATTTCCTATTAAAGTATATTGCTAAAATTGACTCAATAAATACAAAAACGAATAGATCTATAACCATTGAAGAATTAGAAGAAAAAGAATTAGTGGGTTGGCCTGGCTTATTCTAAGGAGGTGTCTTCCGGCCCTGGGGGTCTATGAGAATCTCCCTCCCTCCCTCTCTCTCTCTCCCTCCATCTCCTTCTCCTTCTTTTTCTTCCTCTCTCCTCCTCTCTCTTTTGCGTATTTTGAACATGCAGACTCAGTGCTGGAATTTTTTCCAGTTGGGGTGACAACTTTTGGGTGGACAAAATTTGAAGATGTGTGTCCAATGGGAAGTTTGTCTAATGCTCTCTAAAGGGTGGGTGTGTAGGGCATCATTTCTCTTTTAAGACTGGTGCTCTAACAGAGTGTGGGTGTAAGGGTCATGGCCACATTTTGGTTTTCGTGTGAGGGGGTAGGGTTCTAATTAGTTCCTAACTCCCGAACTACAGTGGAGAGAGGAGCAGTGGGGAAGGGCTGTGGGGGCAGAGTTCTATGTACATCTCTCTATGGTGTGCACGCAGAAGGCTCCTGAACCCTACCAAGGACACCAAGGGGTTGGGGACAGTCTGAAACCTCTCAACTGCTACCGCACTACTCTCCACCTGGCCTTGCACTGTGTGGACTGTTGACTCCTCCCAAGTCTTCCTGTAGAAAGGCATCCTTGGGGGAGTTTTGTTTTGGGTAAGATGCCACAGTGGGACCAAGTGGCCATTGCATGGGGCTGGGCCTTTCGAGACTTCCTGTTCTGTGCAGGAATGAAGGGGAAGGTGGGAGGGAATCCCTCGAAGTTAGGAACTGCAGACTTTTCCCTGAGGAGTTGGGAGAAGATTATCCGGAACCCCTCCCTTCCCCTCCCCCCTTCTCCAGGAGCTTGCAGGGGCCTGAAATGCTGAAATGCTGAAATGAACACTTCTAAAGTTTTATTCCATATTTAAAAAGTGAGAGCTATTTTTCTGAGAACCCATGTGAAAGCAAAGAAGAAAGTTTAATTAACCAGGTGTTGGGCTCCTTGATTGAGGATGGGACTGATTGGGTGGACAGCCACAAAAGGGGACGTGGGGACAGGTGGCAGGGAACACTTCCTTATTTAGGGGAAGGCTGGCCCAGAAAAGTTTTCTGTTGGCTGAAACGCTCCCAGAAAGTGGGTCGCAGACGATGTTCTAATCCAACTGTTGTTTTTCAGGTTAGGCAACATAGATTTCCTTTGATTGCTTTCTGCATTTTCCTTTTATCTTAGATGGAGGGTGTGCCTGGTTGTTCTGCTGTGAACAATGCCCTGATTGTTAGAAACCTTGCTTACATGTATATATGTGTGTGTTTTGCCATGACTCCTGTGTTTTGGAAGTCTTTGGGGACAGATGATATTTATGAATGATGTCCCAAGGGTATAATCAGGATGACTCATTCTTGGAACCAGTTTTATCTGTTACGGGGTGCCAGCTGCACCCAGTTCGCAACTGAACATGCCTGAGATGTCTTCCCTCGTTAACCTGCTCCTGGTTTGGGGTCAGAAGGGCATATTTTAGAGGCTTTTCTATTTTTTCCAGGGATTTAATTTCCCATGATGGCTTCCTGGGGACTTTCTGTTAAGTGTTTTGACAAGGTGAAGACGGTTACATAGTTGAGAAAAAAACTGTGTTTCAGGAGTTCAGAAAACATACTCCCATAGGCAGTTTTATGAATTTCATTATAGTAGCAGTAACCAAGTTTCCTATTTATTCGTTGTCATTCTTGAAGTAATTCTGAAGAATTTCCTGATGTTATCATCTCTGCATTTATAGGACATCAGCTACTCAGGCAGGGTGGAGATTATTAATCATCTCTCTTATACTGCCTCTTACCCTCCCAACAGTCACCATCCAAATGGAGAAAGAGAGGAACAGGAGGGCTACATAATCGTCAAAAGCCCCTCCGGTAAGGCAGGGTCAGGATTGGAGAGCACAATCTTGGAGTCTAGGTTAGTAAGCTTTCATTATAAGTTCCACTGCACCCAGTAAAGCCAAAGTTCCTGAGGGCACCTGAGGCTTAATTCTAGATGTAGGAGTGTGTCCCACTGGACAAACCTGCCATGACCTTGACAGAAGGCTGGCCTTCACGTCTGATTGGCGTCACCTCATCTCAAAGGCACTTTCAGTTCTTGAGGGTCCACTCCTTGCTCCTTGTGCTTTCCTGACTTTTCCCGTGGATGGTGGTGCTGGAGCGCTTGGCCCAGCCCAGTCATGGTTTCTGTCTCCCCTGCCATGTTTTCTAGGGTCTTCCTGACCACAGATTAATTTATCCCGGGGAATTTCCCTGCTTTCACTTTTTCCATCCACTTTGCCAAATCAGACATACTATCAGCATAAGGATTAGGTAGCACCCCTCCCCCCTGCCCTTTTTGACTCATCTTTGAAGTAGCTGCCTGATTTCGTCTCTTGGAGATAAGACATGCGGAGCGTAGAAACGCACTTCAACCTGCACATCTGGCAGGCGGGTGGGCGGTGGAGAGTGGAATTCCTGGATCTCTTCCTTGGTTTGTGGTCTCTGGGGATTGCTTGTTGAATAACTCCACATCACATCACTTCACAGATAAGGAAGATGTCATCCCCACGGCATCCCTGATTTCGGCACGAGCTTCAGAAAACCCCAAGCAGCTAATCTAGAACATGATGCTTTAAGCCGCTATAATCACCAGCCAACTTTGAACATGTGCCATGCACATGACGGCCTTCTCTTCTCAGATGCAGCTCTCAATCATGGGACTACCTTAGGGCACTCTCCCGATTCCCAGTGAAAGCTGTGAAGCTGGACGCTGGGGAGGCAGTCTGGGGCCTACGTAATGCCTGCAGGATGGAGTTCATCCAGGGGCACCGGGCTGTGACACCAGGACTTCCTGGAATGGGCATTGAGTGGAGGTCAAGGGCCCCTGATTCATTTCTCCCTCCGGCACCAACAGTTTGTTAGATCTTAAGCAAGTCTTTCGGAGTAAGTTTCCTTATCTGCCAAACGGAAACTCGTCTTACATGAGGTTGGGAAGGGTCTTGACTCTTTTGGGAAACTGAGCCAGGATCCAACTGATGCAGGCAGGACCAATGAGTCAAACAAACTAACAAGATAAAGTTTAATGGCTAGAGATTTAACATCTCAGACGTGGGCTCAGAAAACGACTGTACCAGTCAGGAACAGGGAAGAGCTGAATAAGCAGAAGCACATGGGAATCAATGTTGGATGTTTTAATTAATTGCAACAGAGAAATGAGGATTCCAAAAAAACATATGTAAATGTAGGCTGTATTAGTCGAAATACAGTTCTCAGAACTAGGGAGGCGATAATCAATTGGCTAGGCCAGTGCTGGAGAACCGAGTTCTGTTGGGGCCTCACCCTTAAGAGGCCCATGATATCATGGCATGTATTTGGGGAAGACTAACCAGCATGGGGAAGGGTACGGAAGCCCAGGACATCTAGGGATCAGCGGAAAGAATCCAGAATGTTCTTCTCCGTTCCTGGGAAGGAGTCCATGTAGCAGGACCTCATTGCCCAGAGAACCAACCTAGGACAAAGAGGCAAAATAGCTTCAGGAAAGCAGGTTTTTGGCTTGGCTTAAAGAAGAACTTTCATTTCTTTTTCTTTCTTTTTTTCAAACTGGCTCCCCAGGTTCTAACATCGCCTCTTCATAGCAACCAGAGAAAACTTTATTTAGTATATAATATATTTACATGGCTCCAAAACTAACCAGCCCACCAACCAACTACTCAACCAAGTAAATAAATAAGTAAATAAATAAATAAATAACCAAGCAACCAACCAACCAACCAACCAAACTAACTAACAAAAAGTATAAAAACGCACACAAATACAAGCGAAAGCCTACCTCCCCTCCTTAGACTCTGGTTGGGACAGTTTGTCACCGTCTTTAAGAGCGCAGTCTCTGCAGCCATGCCTCCTGGGTTTGTATCTTGGCCCTGCTGCATACTGTGTGATGGTAGGCAAGTTACTTAACCTCTCTGAGCCTCAGCTTCCTCATCTGAAAAAGGGGGATCCTGATGTAGGGTTGTTGTGAGGATTAAATGAGTTCATACATGCGAAGGACTTGGAATAGTTCCTGGGACGCAGTAAATTTCACACCTGTGTCGGCTCTCATTACTGTCGTTATTCTCTGCTTCGTTTTTCCCTTTCCCCCATAAGTAACTATTATTTTTTAAAGTTTCTCGTGTATTCTTTCAGAGTTTCTTAATGCACAGATAAGCAGATATGAAGATCAATTCTTATTCTTCTCATTTTTAAAAATCTCAACGTTAGTACACTGGGCAGCATTGTTCAGTTTGTTTGTTTTTCGACTTGATAGTATATCTTGGAGATTTTTCCACACTGGTACAAAGAGAACTTCCTCATTCTTCTTCACAGCTGCACATATAAGGAAGAACTTTCTAACAATTAGAGCTTGTTTTAAAATAAAACCCTGTCACTGGAAGCGTTCAGTGAAGACGAGATGGCTACCTCTCAGGGATGGAGGAGCAGAGATGAATGAGTCAGAGAGGTGGCTGGGCTAGCCTACTTCTACTGTTCCAGGCTGAGATTTCCTGATCCCATGCTCAGTTTTCTAAAGAATTAAAGCACAGTTAAAACACCTCTAGAAACCACATTGCTGTTCTGTGTCTCAAACTGGCTTCTGACTTGGGCTCAGCCGGCCCTGGGTGAGTCAGCCTCCAGAGGGGCTGGCCTGCAGGGCTTGCCTGTGCCACCTCAAAATGCAGGGGCTCTGAGTCAAGGGCCCAGCTCATCCTCTAGCTCCATCTAGGGCTGCCCTGGCCCCATCATTGCTACCTAGAGGGAAAAAGGATTCCGTTCCAGAGAGATTCCAAGCCCCTCTTTGGCAGGCAGAGTCTCAGTAGGGTGTGTCCTTCGTAGGACGTGGGGTTTGTTCCCCACGTCTCAGCCTGGAGTTCACCATCGCAGGTGGAACTGCAGGGGCAGCCAGAGCCATGGGGTTTCCAACAGGCAGCAAGGCTCTGGGCTTCCCCACCCCCTGCTCCTCCCTGAGTGCTTGATGTGAAGGGGGGTCGGAGATGAGCTCTGCTTCCCTCTACCAGCAGACCAGTAACGGGGGCGGAAGGGTCCCTTGACGTGTCACTGCAGAGGGTGATCGGTGACTGTAGGCCAATGTGGCGGGAAGGTCCCTCAATCCTCGGTAGAGTCTAAAAACCCCCTCTAAGGATGAATCCTTTTATTCTGCAGATCTATGAAAGCGTAGGTCCTATTGAGAGAAATAACACAAGCACCCTCCAGGCGCTAATCCCTCAGCAAGAGCTCCTCACCGGACCCTTGGACAAGGCAGCAGGAAGGGAATGAAGACAGGATGGGGTAGGAGAAGGTGCTAGAGAGAGGGGGAAGGCTGCTGGGGGCGGGCCCTGGGGTTGGGACATGTGAGCCCAGATGCTAAAGGGAATCCGTCTTGTTTACTTGTTAGGATGCTTAGCAGAGAGTTAACTGCAGCAGCAGAGCCTAATGGGGTGGCACGAGGGACCTCAGCCTTGCTCTCATAATCTCCATAAGCATCCACAAAGCACCCCAATAAACAATCAAAAACCCAGCCACTTTCTATACAAACTCTGCTTCAGTATAGGTTACTAGAAACATCGCACAATTTTCATCCGTTAATGTCGTCCTTAAGCCCCCGTGCTGTATAAACTCTAGAGCCACCGTCCGTTCATTGGTTTACAGGGAAAGCCTGTGAATCTTGATTATACAATTTCTACTGCAAGCTCCCCAAGGGCAGGGACCATGTCTTACATCTTCCTCCTCCTCCTCCTCCTCCTCCTTCTTTTTAGGTATGATTGACAATAAACCACATATTTAATGTGTACCATTTGATAAGTTTTAACATATGGATACATCCGTGAAACCATCAGCACAGTCAAGCTCATGAACATATCCATCTCCCCAAAAAAGTTTCCTTGTGCCCTTTGTCTTTCCTTCCTCCTGCCCTCCCCTCCTCCTCATCCCCAAGTACCCCCTGATCTGCCTTCTGTCACTATAGATTAGTTTGCATTTTTCTAGAATTTTATATAAATGGAATAATACAATATGTACTCTCATTTTTTGTCTGGTTTCTTTCATTCAGTGTATTTATTCAGAGATCCAACCAAGCGGTTGCGTGCATATGTCTAGTTAATTCCTTTTTAACGCTGAGTAGTATTCCATTGCATGTATATTAGACGTCTGTTTATTCATTCATCTATTGATGAACATTTAGGTTGTTTTCAGTTTTTGGCTGTTACAGATAAAGCTACAGTAAACATTTGTGTACAAGTCTTTGTACAGACATAGACTTTCATTTTTCTTGGGTAAATGCCTAGGTGTGGGATGGGTTATTAAGTAGGTATATGTTTAACTTTTTAAGAAAGTGCGAAACTGTTTTCCAAAGGGGTCGTATCATTTTACCTTCCCGTCAGCATTGTATGAGAGTTCTGGTTGTTCCATATTCTTGCCAACGCTAGTTATGGTCAGTCCTTTTATTTTAGAAATTCTAATAGGTATTATTTAGATTCTAATAGGTATGTGGTGGTTAGTGGTATCTCGTTGTGGTTTAAATTTGCATTTTCCTGATAACTAATGATGTTGAGCGCCTTTTCATCTGTATATCCTCTCTGCTGAAGTGTCTGTTCGAGTCGTTTGCCTGTCCTTGTACTTGGTTGTGTGCTTCGTTACTATTGAATTTTGAGAGTTCTTTATAGAGTCTAGATATAAGTCTTTTATCAGATATATGATTCGCAAATCTTTTCTCCCAGTCTATGGCTTGTCTTTTCCATTTTCTTAATGGTGTCTTTTGAAGAGCAGAAGTTCTTAATCTTCATAAAGTCCACTTTATAATTTTTCTTTTGTTTATAGGTGTACTTTTGGTGTCGTATTTAAAAAATCTGTGCCTAATCCAAGGTTAGAAATATTTTCCCACCACATTTTCTTCAGAAGTTTTAGGTATTAGGTCTATGATCCATTTTGAGTTAATTTTTGTAGGTAGTGTGAAGTATGGATTAAGGTTCACTCTGGGGCATATGAATATCTAATTATTCCAGCAACATTTGTTGAAAAGAATTTCCTTTCTCCCTGGAATGTCTTTGCACCTGTGTCAGAAATCAATTGGCCACGTATTTGTGGGTCTATTTCTTTCGTACTCCTGAGCCCCACTCTGTCATAGCCCAGGCTCGGGGCTGGCACATGGCAAGCACTTAATAATGGCTCAGGGATGTAACTTGACTCCAGCTGTCTTCCGGGCTTTCTCGTTAGACCCAATTGGATGTTGCTGGGCTGGGGGACAGTAATGCAGTAGGAGGTCAGATGGTGTGAAGGCGCAGCAGCGTGCCGTTGGTGCCGCACTAGTGCGTGCTGGCTCATGTTCACACTGCACTTCACAGTCAGCACTAAATGAGTCAGGGTCAGCCTGAGATCCTGAAAGACTCTAAGGGAATCAGCCTTCCCACCAAGCCAGCAGGTTTCAGAGACTGTGCCTGCAGTTTGAGAACCTCGGGACCAAATCATCCAAAATACCATCTCCAGCAAAGGTTATCCTTGATTCTTGGTAACTCTCTAGAGCGGTGGTGTCCAATAGAAAGAGGATGTAAGCCACATATATAATTTAAGATTTTTCTAGTACATGTATTTTAAAAAGTAAAAAGAAGCAGGAGAAATTAATTTTAAAATATATTTTAACTCAACATATATAAAATATTGTCATCCAACATCTAATCAACACGAAATTGTCGATGAGATATTTTATATTTTTTTGAACAAAGTCTTCAAAATCTGGTGTGTATTTTACAATGATGGCACATCTCAATTCTAACTACCCACATTTCAAGTGCTCAGTAGCCGCATGTGGCTAGTGGCTACCATGTTGGACAGCATGGCTTTTGAACAGACCTTACATTTCTTGCTTTACTGCTCTCTCTTTCTTCAAATCTTTATTCGATGGAAAGCCCTTCCCTCTGGAGACTAACTTCCGTTCTCCACTCCGACCTCTCTTGTTGCTAGAAGCCAAGATCAGAGGAGGAGGAGATTATCTTGAAGATGGAAGATATAAAAACGAGACCTAGATCCATGTCATACAAAAGCTCACGAGTCGGTTCTCTTTACACGGCAAGGTGGAGGGGAGGTGGTAAGGAAGTCTCTGTGGTGCACAGGAGTTAGCTCGTGCTGGCTCAAGAGAACCAGCTGATTACTTTTCAGGAATTGTGCGAGCCAGTTGTTAAACTCGGTAATTAATAAAAAGTAAGCTATATAAACTTTCTATTGAATAAATTATATTAAAAACGTAAGTAATAAATACACAAAAAAATCACCACTTCCTAATTATGTTATTACATTTCACTGCTCCCCGTGTTCTTGAGGTTGCTATGCCTATTACATCTGAATGGCAGAAGCACCATATGATGCTCTGCTCCTCAGCATCTCTTTCCATAGCCTGAAATTGGTAGGAGTATTTACTCCACAGAAAATGGCGATTGCTCAAGTCCATGCTTTCCCCCCAAATTTGCCAATGGTTAAAACTTTACCAGCACACCCCTGGGAAGGCTCTAGAAGATGTCGGCTTAAGGAGATGAAGGGTGCCTGGCACATTGCAAATGCTCAATAAATGGTAGCTATGATTATATTGATTGGAAATCTGAATAATTTAGGACAAAAGGCCATCCTGCCCTTCCCCCTCCCCAACTCCCAAGAGCCGGGAGGATGTTTTTGTTTGAAACAGCCTGTCTCATTTCTTTAAAGTTTTCGCCACTCACCCCTGAGTGTTCAGTGGTGAGATTAAGACCCAGAAGTTCCAGCTGCCTCTCAGTGGAGCCTTGGTAATCAAGTTATTCGCTAACTACCCCCTTCCCCATTGCTCTAGGGGCCAGAGGGAGAAAGGAGGCTCCACAGCTCACAACTAGATATTCATAGCCATTCTCCCCAGGAGGTGGGAGTTTTTCTTTTGCTTATCTGCCTTTATCCTCTTTCTACAATGACACTCCCAGTTTTAAATGAGTTAATTTTAAAACCAACACAAGAATTTTAAAATGTCTTCAAAGGCCACTTAGGCATCACTAGGTGGTGCGAAGTGTGGAAGAGAGGTATTAAGCATGAAAGGATTTCAGCTGGAATGGACAAGTCTCCCCGGCTGCCCAGCGTTTGGGGATGAATCAATTAAAAGGAGGTGAAACAGGAAGGCAGCAGACAGGTCTCTGTAAACCCTGGAGTGTTTCTGCTGAGGTCCCCTTCCTCCACATGAGAGCCCCCATTCATCCTTGCAGATGACATATGGGATGTCTATAATGAATAAGGATTTGATGTGATTTCATCTCTCTGCCAAACTAACTCACAGAACTAATTCCACTTTAGACTTTGTTAAATGAGGTTTTAAAAAGTGTATTAGAGGATAACTTTTGAAGTCTCTAAGCTAGATCAAGGGGTGCATTTGGGAGAAAACTTTGGGGACAACTCTTCCCCATACCTACGGCTGGAGCCGTATTTTGATGTCTTTGATTTATAAGGGTGAAGTCTATGGGGATCTGTCTCGAGAGGGCTTTGACTTTTAAGGGATTGAACTAGTTGAAACCTTATGTGCATTTAGAAATAAAGCTCTTTTATATCATAGAGTCTCAAAGCTTGACGGTGGGATGGGACTCCAGAGGTCAATACTCTAAACCTAAATCGGATGCCTGAGTCCCCTCCTTTATGTCTCTGCCCAGTCCCCAGCTTTTTCTAGCACACCTCCCATGGCAGCCCGGTTCATTTCAGGGGTAGTGCATAGAAAACTCCGCTTACGTTAACCCCAAACCCACCTTCTTGTAACGTGCACTCATTGTTCCCAGGTCTGGAAGATGGGGCAGGGGCACACACGGATACAAGCTTGTGAGATTTGTGTAATGAAGAAAGACCATTTTTGTAATAACTTGATTTAACATGACCTGTCCTCTCTCAGCCATCTTGTATGTACAAGGACCGATGCAGGCACTGTGGGAGATACAAAGATAAATAAACTAGAGGCTCCACCCTCAAGGAGTTCATAAGCCACAGTTTAATGTGTGCCTACAACATGAATACAAGGCAGAAGACGATCTGGTGAAGGACGTGGAACCAATATTTGTGGAGTCCCTTTGAAGTGCCAGGGCTTGCTTTCCTTGTCCCGGGTCTCATGTAATCCTTGTGGGCTTGTGCACTAAACTCCCTGAACTTCATTTTCCTGATTTGTGAAATTTGATGTTGCACTTGATGCCCTCTGAAGTCCCTTCCAGCCCTCATATCCCATGATTCATGCCTCCTTGCCCGGTGGCCCCCGGCTACCCTCTCCTGGGTTGGGCTGGCTAGGGAAATGGATGAGCAAGAGACATTTCTGTTGTTGTTGCTCTTTTCTCCCCTCCCTGTGGGATGTACTGTTGACTTAAAACCAGTTTGAACAAAGCACTCAGGAATAAACCACAGAGAACCATCTAGAATTGGCAGAGGATAACCCTATGACCCCAGAGGCCTTTTCCAGCTCTAATTTTTATGATTCACTAATTTGCTGCACCGCACTCAACTCTGTCCGGGAATTCAGAGTTCAAAAAAGATGCGATGTAAATTGCTGGAGGTAATGAGGAGGCTGCAGGCACAGTGGGGCCAGAAGCGTGGTTTGCAGTGAAATTAAATACAGGGAGATATTTCAAGAAGCCAGAGACTTTATTTTTTATCCCTGAGAGACTCCCATTTTAAGGCGAGTAGGATAAATTTAAGGTTTTCTCTTTTTCAGTGGTATGACTAGGTTTTTGCTATGTTATGACTCCAATTGAGCTGCTTATCTGTTTTATAAACTCCCAAGAAAGCTATGGAAGGCAGACATGGCTGTTTAGCAATAAGTTCTGCTGCAATTTAAAAAATAACTTTGAAGTGGGAGATGCTGTAGGAAGACCTGTGTTCTATAAATATGTATGTCTTTCTTGAGGGAATTGCTGAGGGCAGGGAGCGGTAACTTGGTATTTGATGAATCTCATGA